AAAATGAATAAAAAATACATTTCTTCGGACATGCTTTGATAATGTATTTATCATGTTTTACTGGGAACTAATTCCGCAACATTTTTATTAAAAGAAGTACTCTGATTTTTATAAAGCATAAACAAAATCGGTCTTTTCTGGCCGTGAAAATGGGGATGTCACATCCGCCTCCATTAAAACCTACAATGTAATCACCTCCCGTAATAGATCTTATTGCGTTTGTATCTGGTTATCGATGATGTCTGAGAAGGAGTTAAATGTCTTCATTAATCGTCTTCATATTGATGAATCCAGGTTTGCAGACTTCTCTATAAAAAACGAAACAAAATTCGCATCTCCACTGTATTTCAGACGATCGATTGAGTATTTGATTAGAGAAGCTTCCACTGCCAAATCGGCCTTTGATTAGAGAAGACGATCCTATGCCGATCAAGTATTTGATTGTACAATCATCTATTGCCAAATCGACCTAACCGGATCTATACCACATATAACCACCAATAAATCGAAATGAAAACTCCGACAATCAAGTGCCTATAACTACAATCAGGTAAATCATTAATCTCATTTTCTGAATGTTTATTTCAGTATTTATGTTCTTCTCATAAGTTAAAGGTTTCTGAGTGACCAGATAAGGTTTTATTATAGATAAGGTTGTTCAACAATCATTGTTAGGATCCACCTTATCAAACATGCTGTTAGTTATTGGTTGTGCTTTTTTTTACTGGTGGCATTGCACTTTATCCAACCATTCAACGATTTAAACCAGGCAATTCACCATTTTGGAATCTGATTCCATTCCTTTGTATGGTGGAATTTAGATCTCTGGAATCACTCATTTAGTCATTTGTATGGTCGTATATATGAATGCACTTAGCAGTTCTTATGGTAACCTGAAGACTTGAAGCTTTTAGATCGTGTGTTTTAGCTTATACGAGAACATAAAAAAGATGAATGTTAACTGTAGATTATAAGTTCCAAAGTTAACATTGTAGTGAAGGCATCAAATTATTTTGAATGTTTAGATTTTGATGTATGCTTTTGTTCTTTTCTTTGGCCCTGATTACAAATGTGAATTTTTCAATTTGTTACACGATACATAAGCAAATGATTGGCATTTGCTTTTTGGTTAAAATTCAATTTTACCCATGATGATTATAAATGAGAATCAATATCGATTCGTCTATTTGATAAATAATACACATTACACTACATATATTTCAATAGGGAAATTTATACAAAAGCACTTAAGTTTACAACAACATTTTTACCCTAACGTTTTTTTTTGGTGAAATTTCTTATGCAAGACATAATGTTTGATATTGAAGCAAATGATCATGCTATTGAATTTGGCATATGCAAGCTATCTTTTCTTTCAGCTTAAGAGTCTTGATCGAGTATTTAGATCCTGCTTTTATGTCTATAATTAAATATCTTGATCAAAGGCGTAAGGAACAATGGGAAAGAACTGCTTGAGCACAAAATGGATTTAATTTTGCTAAAATGTTAGGGTTTGGTGATCTTGGAGGCCTAAAACTTTCTGTTGCTGAAGAATACTCACTTCATTCTAGATATCTTGCTAAAGCCAATTCTCTTAATCTTTCTGAAATAGCAGAAACTGGTGATCTTTGCAAGTGAGTAATCTGTTGAAAATGATATATTGTTATATTGTTTGTGTTTATGGCTCTTTTTTTAGTTTTTGGTATTATATGTTTTTATGCTATGTCATTCTTTTTTAGGTATTGGGATTTGAGACAACAGAATCCAGTCCCACCACATAACTACCCTGATTGTTGTTATGGACTTACAATGAGACATCCTTTTATGGTTGTTGCAACAGCAGATAGAAATCTTATAGCATTCAACTTACAAAACCCTCAGGTAAATTGTTTTTATATCATTTTGAACAGATGCTAGGAAAAGCCAAAGCTTCAACCTGATAATTCTCAATAAAATAAGATCCCCAAATTAAAGACCCACTACTAACAAAATACAAATGCAAGCAAATCGGATTTACAATCTAACCATTTCCAAAAGACAGCTAATAGATTATCAATATCCTAACTACTGACTGTAATTGCTCAAATATGCACTACATGATCTAAGACCATCTACCACATACAAAATCACTTAAAAAACTTTTTACAGATGTTAGGCGTGTCAAACCCAACAAATGATAGGGGTACGATATACTCCAAATACACTGCTTTAATGCACTAAAAGGTAGTACAAGGCAAGCAGGGTCGATCCACAGAGACACGGGATAATTAGTCTATACCTCTTTGCGCATGGTACTTTGGTCACAAAAGGGGGTTTTCTTTGCAAAAGTCAAATAATGACAATAACAATCAACTTTGGAACATGCAGAAAATGAAATAGATTTGTAAACAAGTTGTAAAAGTGCTTCCAGTTCTAGTTCTCAATGTTGTCATTTAACCTGATTATGACTTGATGTAATTTGTGATTACTATTCTAAGTTGGTACTGAAAGATATTAACACGCTCTAATACCTCTCGCTTGCCAAATTTTCTAACCAAAACACGCTCTTTGACTAGACCTAGCTTTACTAATTCAACCTAAAAACGCTCTTAGATTGTATTGAAAAACTGCATTAAGTTTTGTACAAGCTTCCCAACAATGTTCATTTCTTCTCATACGCTCGGAAGTGTGAAAAATGTGATAAATGTTCTACAATAAGAAAACCTATTGTTTGTTACCAATTATTAACTTAATAGAACGATTAGGTGCTCTAAAAATTAATTAACTGCACAAAAATTCAATTCATGAAAGTGGCCAATCAAACACAAATCAAATTTAAGGGTTCTAGTTTAAACAAAAACATAATCACTAGAATAGAATCACAAATCAAACATCAAATCATATGCTTCAAGTCAAGCAATCAACATGTTTTGAACAAGAACTAGAAACTAGGGTTTCTTAGCTACACATGGCTAAGAACAAATCAAACAAGAATAAAAGATGAAAATAATGTGTAATTACAACTTACAAATACTAGAAATAATGTTTCCAAATGATTACTAATCAATCCCTTGCAATAACCTTCGATATCCCCTCTCAAAATGTGCTCTGATATGTTCTGTGTGTCCCCAAATGACCCAATTTCCGTAATATGAAAGATAGGAAAAACTGCCAAAAGTTGGTTTTTGGGTCGAACACGGCCCGTGTTAAAATAGGCTAAACTGACACGGCCCGTGTTCAGCAGCCAACACGGCCCGTGTTCAGCATGGTCAACAGCTCCCATTTTGGTCAACACGGCTCGTATTGATTTTGCAGTGTAAATCCAACACGGCCCGTGTACCCCTCTGACTCCGAATCCAAACTTGATTTTTCCAACTTTTTCGTTCTTTGCCCGATCATCCTGAAATCTTCACCAATGCATCCCGGCACCTCCCAAAGCGCATTCCAAGCTCCGGTTTACTGAAAAGACATGAAAGTGTGCAAAAGGTTGTTCTAGAGACTAACATGAATATGATGAAATGCAAGAAAAAGGAAGAACAATTATGCTAAATAGATGATGAAATGGGACTAAAAGGTGTGCAAAAAGGTGCACAAATTGCACCTAACAACAAATTTAATTTTATTTCCATTTCCTCCCTCAAGCATGATGTAATTTGGTGTACTTCATATAAGGATCATATATGCGTAGAGTGGTACAGTCCACTGGTCAAAAAAGTATGCATTGGTATTTGATGCTGTTTACACACCTAAAATTACCAGATTACTTAGGGAAGCAGGAGAATGTGGAGCCAAAATTGTTACAGGGGTTGAAATGTTTATAGGGCAGGCTTAAGAACAATATGAAAGATTTACAGGTTTACCAGGTAATATTTTTAAAATTTTAAATTATATGATATTTCATACTTTTCCTTTTCCATTATTATTATTAATTATACTTTGCAACTGCAGCACCTAAGAAGTTATTTAGTGAGATTATGGTAAAGTATTGATTGTTGCGGGCCATTCACTTTGGGTATGTACCTCTTGTATTACACATTAAGGGTAATGTTTGCACATTATCTATCTCAATATATACATATTTCAAAATTTTCTCACTTGCAAACATATATCTTTTTCCTTTTTTTTATTGTAACAGGTTCTTCCTATCATGATTGATGTTGGAATCAACAATGACAACATTCTAGAAATTCCCTTGTGTAACTTTTTTTTCTTTTCTTGATTTTTTTTTCGAACCTTATTAAGTAAATTACATGTGATTCACATGTAAATCACATATGAATCACATGTGATATACATGTAATTAACATATGAATTACATGCAAATCACATGTTATTCACATATGAATCACATGTAAATCACATGTTATTCACATATGAATCACATGTAAATCATATATGAATTAGATGTGATTCACATGTAAAGCACATGTTATTCACATACGAATCAGATGTAATTCATATATGAATTAGATGTGATTCACATGTAATTCACATATGAATTACATGTGATTCACATGTAAATCACATATGAATTATATGTGATTCACATGTAGATCATATATGTATTTTTATGAGTGTTTTTGCATCAACCGATTTTTTTTTCTTGTAGATTTGAAAGAAATTGTGGTGAATATTGAAGAGGTGAAAAATGATAAATTGAAGAAAATATGGAAATATTGACACGAAGACATGAAAACGCTTAGAAATTTGTAGCATTTTTTATTTTTTATATATTATTTTGTATCGAATAAAATACTTGTACTATTATGCTTATAGATTAATTAATAAATATGAGATTTGTTGTGATTTACTTACGAATATTATAGTATAAGAAATGTCCATATGTGCATTTGAAAAAATATGTACATATGCACCTAACAATTTACTTTTTAAAAAAAATGCAGTTTTTTAAAAAAAAATTGCAGTTTTTTTTAAATACAAATTTTTTCTGAAAAAATGTAATTTTCTTTAAAAAAAACTTACAGTTTTTTTTTTGTAAAAATTGCAGTTTTTTTTATTTCAAAATGCTGTTTTTTTAAAAAAAGTACAGTTTTTTTTTTTGAAAAAAATGCAGTTTTCTTTAAAAAAAAATTGTAGTTTTTTGAAAAAATTGCAGTTTTTTTAAAAAAATATTTTTTTTTTTTTTTTAAATTCATGTTTTCTATAAAAAATTAAAAAATCTGCAATTTAAAAAAAACGAAAAATATGAAAAATTGATTTATGATATAAAATTTTAGACATTTATATTAATATGTTAAATAACACAAAAAAATTAAACATTAAATGAAATTGGTAAGATGACGATAATGTCCTTAATGAATTACTTTTGATCCAACGCTCCACTTTTAGTTTTCGGGTTCTCGGGAAACTATGAGTTCTCAACCGATCTCAACCCTATATATATATATATATATATATATATATATATATATATATATATATATATGTTAACGTATCCCACCAGGAATACGTCAGACATAACATAATCGTTAGTCTGATAGACAGTTTGGGCTAGTGGTGGCAAAAACTGACACGACACGAAACCCAACACGAAATCGACACGAATAAAAGGGGTTTGGGTAAGATATTTCAACCCGTTTAATTAAACGGGTTGACACGACACGACACGAAAAATAAACGGTTAATGTTAGGGTTGAGAATTTCAACCCGAATATGACTCGAAAATGATCCGTTTATATGTAAGTTTTATGAATGTTTTAAATAAACTAGAAAGACTAAAAACCACAAACAATACGTAAAAGAAAACTTTTGGGTTGACTCGTTTTGTAACGTGGAATACACTTAGCCGTCTTAGTCAAGACTTTTATTTTCAGTTTTTTTTTTTTATCGCCCAAATTAACACTCCTCTCAACCATTCCCCCCTCTTCATGATCCCTCATTCTCCTTCCAACTCATATTCATTCCATTTTACTCTCTTATTCTACTATTACATTTCCTTTCCACCTATCTAAATCATACTCTTTCAACATGTTTAATGTTTCAACCTCACATGTCATGACATATTTTAAGATATACCCTAACCCGAAACCCGACACGAACTCGACATGAAAATAAACGGGTTGACACGACACAACACGTTAATTAAACGGATCGGGTTAGGGTCAAGATCTCTCAAGCCGTTTACTGTTTTGACACGACACGTTTTCCAGGTCTAGTTTGGGCAAAGGATGGTGTATGCCTAAACCGCGCCCTCGCCCTCGCGCTCCCGTATTCGTTCCTTGGCGCCCAAGCACCAAGATCAACGTCAAGACAAAATAGTACCAATCGTCTCCTAGAGCGACAAGTGTAGCGCTCAGGACGCCGTTCTTGGCAAACCTGCATCAATAGCAAACAACCACTCACGGAGCACGATCTACCAATCGAAGACCATCTACCCCTGCCAAACCTGAAAAGGTAAAAGATACTGCCGGGAATCTCCCCCCCCCAACTACAGGTATAAAAAGGTCCCCAAAGAGAAGGGATCGAGAGAAAAAAACCCTTAAACACTTACCTAACACTTTTCACCTTCTCTAAAAACGAAATGACTCGATCGTCGGAGCTTCGTTCCGGGATCGCCTCTCGGACGACGATTGGCGATCTTGTTTTCTTTGTTGTGATTCTCAGGCCCTTCACTTCCATCCCTCAAAGAGACGGAGCTAATCCGGAGACATATCACAACAATATATATCAAGGACCAAAATTATAAATGTTTTTTAAAATATCAAATAGTATAATACAAAAATCGTAAATGTTTTTTACGTCAAATTAATATATAAGATTGATATGCACTAAAAGTTTAATAAATAAAATGTATTAACCTTAACTTCTATATAAACTAGGGAAGATGCCCATGCTTCGCATGGATCAGAAAGGGTTTTGTTTTCCGTTTCATTGTATAAACGGAATGCAGTTATTGCAACCAAACATGCGATGGAATGGAATCTCGGATTACAATTCTGCTAGAATTCATGAACCAAACAAACCCTAGAAGCGTAAAAGAACAGATGAATATAAATCAAACATTACTTTCTTATCACAGTTCCAGTTAGTTGATGGAGAGTGAATCCAACAACAAAATGCATGGACTTCTGAATTTTTATCCTAAACCTTCACCATAGTGAGAATATATCAAGCTAAAATTGATGAATTTTAAGCACTAAACAATGGGGAAAACCACATATTTTCTAGAAAATATTGTCATTTTTCTTCATCCACTTCAACACCTTTTCCTTGTTGGAGTCGATGCTTTCCTAGTTGCTTCATCATAATCAATTTGACTTATCAGCCCATGTTGGACAATTCTATAAGATAGATAAAATACATTAGACAAACTTCACCTGGAGTTAATAGGAACAACATGATCTGCAGCCTTAGTAATTGTTGCGATTATATTTGTTGGTACCCTCTTATCTTTAACCATTTGTGATCTCACATATCATATGTTAAATGCCAAAATAAATAAATAAAAAGAATTCATATTTTTAATACAAACCTTCAGGAAGAAAATAATGATGTATCATTACTTCCAGTCACATACCCTGTTAACTAAAATGTTGACAAAATCAAAATATCATGCCACAGATACACATTGTAAGAAAATCCAATCATGAGGGATGTTGTCCAAGGAGTATAAGAAATCCTTAGGTTCTAAAATATGTTAGAAGAGAGACTTTTATGCACCATAAGAAATTATTGTTATCTCTTTAATCAATAGAATAGAAAAAGGAACATTAACAAAGTGTACACTAGAAGGGCAATAAAGTAATTTTAGGTTCATACCAGATGCAATCACGTATTATGATTCTCTTTTGTTGTGGAGAAATTTCCTGATGGAGTGGAATAGGAACAGCGTCTCGTCTATGCTACATAGGAAGCAATTGCTTGAACAGTTGTAAACTTAAAGTACCCATCGACTGTATGAAATGGAAAGAAAACCAAAAAACCCATTTAAATTGTAGATTTTAAAACCACATACCTGTTTCCAGATGCCAAATACGAAGTCCAGCTGATTTCAGATAAACCTTACATCAATATACGCAAACGGAGGCAAAATTTGTTATTAAAAGACTAAACTGCGCAAATGGTCCCCGTGGTTTGCTCAAAATTTCCACTTTGGTCCAAAAATATTTGGACTAGCACCACAAGTCCAAAGTTTAGATTTTGTTGCGATTTTGGTCCGATTTGATATGAATTTTTTTTAAATGACGAGTTTGCCCTTCATTTTGCCTTTTCTTTATTTTTTTAATTACTTTAATGTTTTCTGCTTAAAAGGAAAATAAAAATAAAATTAAACCCTTAACCCACCCTCTTACTCTTAACTTACTAACACTCTCCCTCTCTCTTTTCATTTGCTATCGGAGCACCACTGTCGGTGCCACCCATTTCGCCGGAGCAACCCATTTAGCCGGAGCACCACCATCGGTGTCACCCATTTAACCACCGCCTAACAACTCAAAACCACCGCCACTCTGATATGCAACTCGAAGAACGAAGGTCCGACTCCATCTTCCTTAGAAAACCCCAGGTTTCCACCACCAATTGGAAACCCTAACCCTAGCCGCCGCTAAATCTGAACCATGACGAACGATATGGCGCGGGTAGGAGGCCCTAAATGACCGATTAGAGCGACGATTTTGAACAAATCTCCATCGTCTTTCCAAATCCGACGAGAAGGTGACACCAGACGATGGTGACGCTGGCAACGTCATCTACAGAATCGCTGGCGGCGCTGTAAAGATGTTGCAGATTTGGAGCTTCAGAGGGGGTTG